GCGGAAGAATTGCTTGAACCCGGGAGGTGGTGGAGGTTGCAGTAAGCCGAGACTGTGCCACTGCGCTCCAACCTGGCGACAGAGCAAGACTCCGTATCAAAAAAAACAAAAAACAAAAAAAACAGTCTTGTTGCTCACACAAAGCATGTTGGGGGTCTCTTTATTCAGCGTGCGCGTTTTAACACTGGGTTCAAGCGATTCTCCTGCTTCAGCCTCCTGAGTAGCCAGGACTACAGGCGTGCGCAACCACGCCCAGCTAATTTTCGTATTTTTAGTAGAGATGGGGTTTCACCATGTTGGCCAGGATGGTCTCGGACTCTCGACCGCGTGATCCGCCAGCCTCGGCCTCCCAAAGTGCTGGGATTACAGGCATGAGCCACCGCGCCGGGCCGGCAGCCGCCATCTTATGGCTGAAGGCCGAGCCGGGAAAGGAGAACTCGGCGCAGATTGTGAGGCTGACTGCAGGAAGGCCCGAGTCCCGCCAGTCACTTCCCACCAGACCCAACCAGCCCTTTCCCCGCTGTCTCGGGACGTCGGACCCGGCACTCTCACCATTTCTAGGCTTCCAGGGTGTCCTGGCATGTTAGCTGTGGATCGCCCAATACCTGCCGGTCACAGGCCCAGAGGCTTGGCCTCTAGGAGCAGACACTGAGCAAGGAAGACGAGACCCGGAGCTCGGGCTGCAGAGAGACAAAAGCCGCGCCAAACCCGGAAGCCGGCCTGTCCGCTCTAGCTGCGTGTCCGATTGGACGGTTTCCAGCCCAGCGTTTCTGACTGGATAATGTTTAAGACCCGCCCCCTCAGGCCCTGAATGACAGAGAATGTGCTCAGATGCTGGGCAGAATGAAGAGTGACAGCCTAGGCTGCAGCTTTTTCAGGCAGGGCTTCCTCGCTGAGCTGAGCCAGGCCCACGCCAGAGAATATTTGCCTTTAACTGTGTGTATCAAGTTATATGCATTTATAAATAATATATTGCCGGGCGCGGTGGCTCAAGCCTGTAATCCCAGCACTTTGGGAGGCCGAGGCGGGTGGATCACGAGGTCAAGAGATCGAGACCATCCTGGTCAACATGGTGAAACCCCGTCTCTACTAAAAATACATTAGCTGGGCATGGTGGCACGTGCCTGTAATCCCAGCTACTCGGGATGCTGAGGCAGGAGAATTGCCTGAACCCAGAGGTGGAGGTTGCAGTGAGCAGAGATTGTGCCATTGCACTCCAGCCTGGGTAACAAGAGCAAAACTCCGTCTCAAAAAAATAATAATAAATAATAATAATCATCTATTATATGGCTATTCACAAATTAAAAGAATATAATAGGCCGGGCGCTGTGGCTCACGCCTGTAATCCTAGCATTTTGGGAGGCCGAGGTGTGTGGATCACCTGAGGTCAGGAGTTCAAGGCCAGCCTGGCCATCATGGTGAAACCCCATCTTTTTTTTTTTGAGACGGAGTTTCACTCTTGTTACCCAGGCTGGAGTGCAATGGCGAGATCTCGGCTCACCGCAACCTCCACCTCCTGGGTTCAGGCAATTCTCTTGCCTCAGCCTCCTGAGTAGCTGGGATTACAGGCACGCGCCACCATGCCCAGCTAATGTTTTGTATTTTTAGTAGAGACGGGGTTTCACCATGTTGACCAGGATGGTCTTGATCTCTTGACCTCATGATCCACCCTCCTCGGCCTCCCAAAGTGCTGGGATTCAGGCTTGAGCCACTGGGCCCAGCCAAACCCCATCTTTATTTAAAAAAAAAAAAAAAGAAAAAGAAAAAAGAATATAATAATTATTTAAAAATTTCAGCTTTTACTGGTCATTAGAGAAATGCAAATCAAAACCACATTGAGATAAAAAAATAAAAATAAAAATAAAAAATTTCAGCTTTTATAACCTTCCTGACTGCTGATCCTTTGAGCAAGCAGCCTGTGATTTTAAAAAGGAGTCAATCCCCTGAAATATAATGGAAGCCACATGTGAATTTTAAATTTTCTAGTAGCCAAACTTTAAAAACAAGAAACAGGTGGACTTGACTGTAACAATTTAACCCAATATATCCAAAATATTATAATTTTAATATGTGAACAATATGTAATTATTAATGAATACATATATTTGGAGCTAAATCGTTGAAACTAACTGTATTTTACCTTTCTAGCACATCGCAATTCAGACCAGCCACATTTTAGGCACTCAGCTGCCACACATGGCTAGTAGCTGTTACATTGAAGTGAAGCTCTGACAACAGCAGGGTGAAAGTCCTCAACATCCTCTTTCTGCCGGAGGTAAGGTGATAGCCTGTCTTTACCAACATCTCTTTTCAGTTCTGAGGGTGAAACAGAAAGAGTGACCATAGAAAGAGCAGAGGGCAGCAGGAATATAATAACCACAGGTAGACCACTGTTTGCCACCCCTCTTCCAGAGATCAGACAGTGAACAAAGGATGATGGGTCCACAGTAGAAAAAAACTATGTCTTTAGATCTGTCCACAGTCTTGACCTGCAATGTTTAGTTAGGAAGAAAATCAATTAAAGGCAAACTTATTCTGCTATGCGGCCTTGGAGCTAATGGTCAGGCTGTTGTTATCTATTTTCTACTGCGGTGTGGGGTACTTGTGAGTATAAGCACCAATCACATACATACATGTCTACATGTATTTCTGCCTGACTCAGGGAAAAATCAGTACTTTCAGGGTGCCCACTGTTAGAAGGTAGCTAGTAATCAACCTGTCATTAAATCCTGGCATCCTAACTGCACAGGGTGCATGTATTAGTTAGCTCTAACAGCATAACTAAACATCCAAAACTTATTGGGTCATAATTGAGATGGTCAGCCATTAAGGCTGGGCTCAATGGGGCCATTCTTCTGGTCTCAGCTGAGCTCCTTCAGACATGTATCATCAGCTGCTTGTTGACTACACAGCTGTGTTTCTGGGAGTGAGCTTCTGGTTCTGGGGCTGTCAAAAGGGGCACCTTGCTTCTCCTCCCCATGGTATCTTATCCTCCAGTTGGCTAACATGGGCTTTTTTTTTTTTTTATGGTGATAACAGCATTATGAGATAAAAATAGAAGCATTCAAGACCATTTGAGTCTAGGCCTCAAACTAGGCCACTGTCATGTTCACAGGTTTCCACTGTCCTGAGCAAATAAGGCCAGTCAGATCCAATGTTCAGAAAACGCATTCTGGATCTTGATGAGAACAGCTGTAAAAGCACCTGGCAATGGACATGTATACAGGAGAAATGAAAAATTGCCACCATTTTTGCAATCAGTATCATTCCGCCCTTTTTTGTTTATGTTGCTTATAGAACTCTTCCATGGCAAGAAACTTTTTCAAAGACCCACAGCTACTAAGTGGCTGGGCTGAGACTCAGCATCAACCATGTCTGACTCCAAAGCCCATGCACCTCCACAGATCACACTATGATGCTAAAGTAGCTGCCACAGACCCTTGAAATCCTGGATAGTGACACTTCTATGATAGAATCAAGATCCCCTTTAGATTTGTGGCTATATAATACTGTTTGTTATTGGGAATAAGCCGCTCAAGAAATTGCAGAAGCACACGGTGGCTCACACCTGTAATCCTAGCACTTTGGGAGGCAGAGATGGGAGAATGACATGAGCTCAGGAGTTCAAGTGCAGCCTGCACAACATAGTAAGATCCTGTCTCCATGAAAATAATGTGAAAATTAGCTGGACATAATGGGGCAAGACTGTAGTCCCAGCTACTTGGGTGACTGGGGCAGGAGGATTACTGGACCCTGGAATTTGGAGGCTGCAGTTGGGATGATAGAGTGAGACTCTGTCTCAAAAAAAAAAAAGAAGAAAAGAAGAAATTGCAGACACAATTTTAAAAGACATAGAATAATTTGGGAAAACGGCTGAGGGATAAGTTTATGAAATCAAAGTCCAACAACACATTATGTATTTTTCATCATAGAAAAAAAATTTGAAAACTTTTAAAAGAAAAAAACTTTAGGGAAACCAAATTTAACAGAGCTTAATCAAGCAAAGACTGATTTGCAAATCAGGCAGCCAGAGTAGGCTCAGAGAGACTCTAGTACAGCCAAATGGTGGAAGAAAGAAGATTTATGGACAGAAAAAGCAAAGTGACATACAGAAAATGAAAGTGAGATACAGAAAATGAAAGTGAGATGCAGAAACAGCCAGATTGGTGACAGCCTGGGATTTGCGTCATTTGAACAAGATTTGAACAGTTGATATTCTTTTAGTGGCAAAAACACAGTGGTTGGTACAAGAATGGGTTACAGTCTATTTATGTATCCAGTTAGGTTTCAGTTTACTATGTACAAAAAAAAACCCTATTAATCAAAATTAAACACAATAGGTCAGGTGTGGTGGCTCACGCCTGTAATCCTAACACTTTGGGAGGCTGAGGCAGGCAGATCACTTGAGGTCAGGAGTTGAATTTTCAGTTTGATTATGTCACATTTAGCATGAGTGACTCCATTTTGGTTTGATTCGGTATGTTTGGGCCTAGTGCACAAGCTCAGTCTGGAATAATGGCCTCTAATAATTTTGTTTTAAAAATCCCTCCCTTTTAGTTAAATTTTCACATAGGTCAAAGTGTGACCAAAACACAGGACCTTAGTGCCACTCTCAATTTTTATCATTTTGGGCTTTTGTCGCTGTTATGTCATTCATAGGTTATGGTGTCCCCATGGTTACCTACGTCTTTGAGTTTTTCTCATTCCAGTTAAAGAGAAACCATTTGACATTCTAGAGATGACTATATGCAAATGCTCATAACTTTTGAAAGAATACAGTGCAGTAGGGAGACACTATTTTGACTTTTAAGAGGACAACACCAAAAGTTTCAAGTATACTTATTAGCCAGGATCCCCATGATCCAATCAACTAAAATTAAATAGATCAAATAATTAAACAGATAAATGGTCTACTCATTTCAACCCAGAAATCTGTTCATTAATCCCCTACAGCTAAATCTCTGATAATACCTGATGTATTTCTCCATGTGCAACTACAAATATTAACAACTACACAGGTACATCTCTGTTCATCCAGTAAGTAATCTAGAAAGATTCTATTATTTAGCACAACTTTAGTAAGAAAATTTAAAGTCTATAGTATAACTGTAGCTTGCATTTATTTATTTTTATTTTTTATTTTATTAAAAAAATTTTTTTTTATTTCTTAGGAAGACCTCACCCGAAGCATTTATTTATTTATGTATTTATTTTATTTTATTTTTTTGAGACAGAGTTTTGCTGTTGATGCCCAGGCTGGAGTGCAATGGCGTGATCTTGGCTCACTGCAGCCTCCACCTTCTGGATTCAAGTGATTCTCCTGCCTCAGCCTCCTGAGTAACTGGAATTACATGCATGTGCCACCATGCCCAGCTAAACCGTAGCTTTTGGAGTAGAATCTGCTGTAGAGCCTATTATGGGAGATAAATTTCTAATCATTGCCCTATTTACTCTAAAACATGGAAAAAAAAGACCTAACAAATCATGCTCATTTAGAAGAGTAATGGCCTCCTGGCAATGATCCAAACCTATTCTGAATAAATTCTCTTTAACTTATAAACTAGGTTAAGAGAAGTGGACCAGTATTGTTTCTGATATTATGAAGCAGCAAATATCCTTTTAGAAATTATCACCGACATTGGCCCTTCATCTTTTACCTATCAAGATATAAATATTTTTATTTAT